ACAAATTTAGGGAAAACAGCCTAAGCTGGATATAGGCTACAGCAGTCGGCTTAATTAAATGGCGCAACAGGCAGCTCTCTTTTAACACAGACTTTTAAGAAGGGATGGATGTTTGCTTCAAGTGATAGGCCAGGTAAGTGAAATTATATTATCTAGCTTGTTTGTATGTCGTTTTCTTTACGTTTTCTGACTAAAAGCAACCAAAAAGCCATTTTAAAGTGGTTAAGCAAATTATAATAATAATAATCGGCAGGGATTCCAGACCAATAATGTTAAAATTAGTGTGCCTCCTCTATTTTAAAACCCACGAGCCGCCACTGCCTCCCATACAATAAATGCTTTGTTACTTTTGATTTAAAACAGTCTCAGCTTTTATATTGTCAATTCTATTATGAAATACAAGCAATAAGTGCGGTTTTGCTGCTCTTTAATGTGGTGACAGATGGCCTAATGAAGCGATCCTCTCTTCCTCTTTACTAATAGTTACAGCAGCAAATAAACATGAATGAACATCAGAGGAAACAGAACAACTGACTGAAATGAATCATGTAATCGATCAATCAGTTTTTCAACCACAGAAAGACGTCAAAAAAACAGCTTGAGATCAATAATATCACGTAACGTCACATTTACCTCAGAAAAGACATTTAATGACCATAAACTTGATAGTTAGCTAGCTTACAGGGTTTATTGTGTAGTTTATAGCATTAATTTTTTTCTTGAAATAAAATTGATGTTTCATGATAACCGAATCTCAAGCTTGTGAATCGAAATTGAAATTGAATCTAATTGTGAAATTTCTCTCAATACCCAACCGTAGTAACTACACCGTAAGAAAAAGCAACTACATACAGTATTTTCCAGTTTACAGGACCTTTTGAGTCACAAACACAAAGAAACGTCAAATTGTCGCCATTCTTGAAAAATTATATCCCAGATATCTTTGATTTATAAGGTGATTGTACCTTTAGAACAAAGATAGCATAGTTCATTTATAAATACGGCTAACAAAATTATATATTTAGACAATTTATAGCGTTACTAATAGTAAATTAGCTGTAAAAGAAATCTGTAGTTGCCTCGGCTGAATGAAAAATTCATTCAGTACCAGTAAGATGTTTCACCAGCGTGCTTTTATTTATGGAGGGCTTTTGTAAATATGGCACTGCTTAGATTGCACTGACGTGTCAGTAGGTTTCATATTTATGTGTGACGTGTGTCTTGTGTTCATCTGTGAAGGGCTCATACCTTCTCCAGATCCACACACAGCTCCTCCACCTCTCCCTGCAGTCTCTGCTTGGTTTTGTCCAGACTGGAGCACTTGGCCTGTGTGGCCTCCGCCGCCTCCTCGGCCTCCTGCAGACGAGCCAACAGCTTCTTCCTGCAATGGACACTCGTTACGCACACACTCTGTCCGAACATGCTGGTGAACTTAACATCATCAACAGAAGAACAGTCTGGGCCCGGATGTTCAAAAGAAATTTGACTGGATTTCGGATACTGGATTGGATCAAATCTTTAAAAATGTGTCGTTCAAAAGAAACTGGATTTTTTTGGTTTTGATCTGGAGCAAACATTCAGCATGTGTTGTTCAAAACATTTTAGATTGGGATCAGTTTGATTCAGCAAATCCCAGCAGAAGAGCAGAATTCAGGGTGGATTTCATGTAGTGTATATATGCACAGTTATAGTTTGCACTTGATTTGTTTAACCGTTACAAAAACAAAGCAGATAAAGATAGAAGTAGGATATCTATTAAGCCTTTCAGTATAGTAAAAATTTTATTTTGTCCCCAAAAACCTGTCAATATCAAACAAAAATATTATATTTAATTAATTTTAACTGTTATTTATCACTGTATGTTAATTAGAACGACACAATCATCAGAGAGGAACCAGTCAAAAGTGGTTTACTGTATAATAACTGCATCCCTTATTGCATGAATATTCGGTAACACTTTAGTATAGGGACCAATTCTCACTATTAACTAGTTGCTTATTAGCATGCCTATTATTTACATATTGCCTGTTTATTAGTGCTTATAAAGCACATATTCTGCATGACCATATTCTACATCCCTAATCCCAATACCTAAACTTAACAACTACCTTACTAACTATTAATAAGCAGTAAATTAAGAGTTTATTGAGGCAAAAGTTATAGTTAATAGCAAGAATTGGACCTTAAAATAAAGTGTGACCAAATATTGTATTGTTTTTATTGATTTGTTGTGCATCAGATGAAATTGAAAATGGAAGGGGATGATTGTACTGTATACTGAAACACTTTAATTAACCCATGCTAATTAATTAGAGCTGGTACCCTGTGTTTGGTAATCTGGAAGAGTGTGTATCTGGATCAGAGAAAATCCAATCCAATGTGGCTTTGAAAACCAGCATGAACGTAACATGGATTACCTGCTCCTGGATAGCAAAACATGGGATTTCCAAATCCAGATAATTCTAAATCAGATTTAATGTTCTGAACATTCAATCCTATTCTAGGGCTGCACGATTCATTAAAATAAAACCAAAATCATGATATGACTTATTGCAATTATCAAATTGCAAATGTTCTGATTAGGCCTGTCGCAATAATCAATATATCGACTTATCGCGCAATATATGTACATGACCTCAATCATTTTTGGTGACGCAATATATCGCAATATATATATGTCACCGTGTTTTTTACATTACACTTGCACCTGAGCCTTTTGCAGCTTCTCGTACATAACGTGTGTAGTCATGAGGTGCTAGTTCAAATTTAAAAAATGCTTCTACAAAAGTTTAATCTGCAGATATGGCTTTGTTTAGGGATCTGTGCCTTTGTGCATACAGACATCTGACTGATAAGTAGTGATAGTGTTTTCAGCAATAGTGTGCACCCTTAGTTTACAGAGAAAAGAAGGTAAATCTGTAGATGGAAAAATCTCCATACAAGTTCTTTGTGCATTTTTCTTTTTTTCCTACTTGTTACTTTGCACTTTTTGTTAGAAATGTTTATTTACTATTTATTCAAGTTTTTTAAGGTATCTAATATTTTGATACTTAATTTCCATGATCTAAATATTCTTAAAAATTCAAACTGTGTTGTCATTTGGAAGTGTGTAGGTCTTCTTGCATTATTATGCTGTTACATTATGATTATATATTCAGTGGCATAAAATGGTCTTTAAAATGACAATAATATCGCTTATCGCAATTATTTCTGGGGCAATATATCGCACAACAAAAAGTTGTTATCGTGACAGGCCTAGTTCTGATTTAATTAAATAAATATATGCACTATGGGTTTCAAACCGAAGGGCGGCACTGTGTTCATTTACACGCAAGCAGTTATTTTGTTTTTAATTCAGTATTTAATTCAGTTTTTAAAATATTTTTTCAGTATTTATTTTACAGCCATATTGATATATAATCACAACATTCTGGCACTCCCAGCAAACCTTTTTCTACATTTTTTCAATTTTTTCTAAATCCTGCAACACTTCCCTGTTCCCATCTATATTACCCTTGTATGCCTGGACCATTCTGTTTCTTTGTTACAGGAACAACAAAGAACGTCCCTGCAATAATGTCCTACTCAAAATGTATGTTTACACCATTAATGCATACTTGGCTTCTTCCAGCTCGTCGCTGTGCTGGATGGCATCAGCCTCATGGCGGCTCCTCCAGTGCGTGACGTCACTGTTGAGTTTGGAGACGAGGCGCTGCAGCTCCTGTTTGCTCTCCTGCTCCTCCTCCAGCTGCTCCTTCATCGTGTCACACTCCTGCCGCAGCGCAGACAGACTGCTGCCCAGCAGCGCTTTGGCCTGACGACGACAGACCGAACCATGACACAAACACTCACAAACATCACTGCAAAACAAGTTAGAGTGGTTAACCGCACACACCTTGACCTCCTCATCAAACTGTTTCTTGAGTTCCTCATGTTGGGATATCAGCAGGGCTTTCGATCGGCTCAGGTGGCTGCCCTTGTTCTCCATCTCCTCCATCTGCCTCGTCAGCTCATTGTTTTCAGCTGCAAAGGCAAGTTTGAATACTTGTAAAACATTTTGAAATGTGTAAGTCCAGTTATCAACTGTTTAAACCAGATTGAACAGACCATGAAATCAAATCTGGAGTGGTTTGTGGCTTTACTTTGTGTGTATTTCCTCTGAGGCTACACTAAATGTGGACAAAGCAGTATTTTTAAACAAAATTTGGAGCCTTGTCTGAGCCAATAGTCAACTCACTTCACTTACTGTCTACATTCTGTCCTATCATAGTAAAAAATGGAGTCTTTATACTTTGTGAAAATGTTGATGACTCATCTTGCACTCAGGGGCGTGTCCAAATTGTTATCCAATCAAATCAGAATGAGAATGTCCCCTCTCCCTAAAATCATCTGCTTCTGACTAGCAATTGCAAATCAATTTTGCTGAAAATATAAATTAAAGTACATACAAAAAGGGTGTAAAAAAATTAAACGGGTAATTCTGATAATAGTTTAAATTAGAATTACATTATATATAAAGTTGCAAGTGCAAGATATTAAGCCATAATTAAAAGAAATAGTCATAATTGAGAGATATGAAGTTGCAAATACAAGATATAAGGATGCAATTATACAAAAATGATTTTTCTATATATATTTTTAAATGTTTTAAATTAAGTCTCTTCTGCTTACCAAGGCTGCATTTATTTGATGAAAAATAGAGTAAAAATTGTGAAATATTATTACAATTCAAAATAACTGTTTTCTATGTAAATAAATGTTAAAATGTAATTTATTCCTGTGATCAAAGCTGAATTTTCAGCATCATTACTCCTGTCTTCAGTGTCACATGATCCTTCAGAAATCATGCTAATATGCTGATTTGCAGCTCAAGAAACAGTTCTGATTATTACCAATTTTGAAAACAGTTGTGCTGCTTCATATTTTTGTGGAAACATTAAATTTTTCAGGATTCTTTGATTTACAGAAAGTTCAAAAAGAACAGCATTTATTTGAAATCTAAACTGTCACTTTTGACCAATTTATTGTATCAAACCAAACTTTTGAAGCGTAGTGTGACTCGGGTATTAATGTGAGCTCTTCATCAGTCACCTGTGAGTCTGTTCTTGGCTGCTGTAACCTCGTTCACAGTTTTCTGCAGGTCTTCATTCCTAGTGTTGGCGTCACAGAGCAGCTCCTCTAGTTTTCTCATCTGAGTGTCAGTCGATGCCTGATGTTACACATGATCATACAACATGACATTAGCTTTGATCCGCGGTTTATCTGCTCATGTCTCACAAACCTAATGAAAGGCCAAACAAATTCTACAGCAATGATTCACGGAAATCCAGATTTAAAAATAAATCGTGGTAGACATTTATTTCTATAGCACAAAGAACCAAATCTGAACCAAAACAAAACCAAAACAGATTTGGAGAAATGTAGCATTGCGTCACTTGCTCACCAATGGATCCTCAGCAGTGAATGGGTGCCGTCAGAATGAGAGTCCAAACAGCTGATAAAAACATCACAATAATCCACAAGTAATCCACACCACTCCAGTCCATCAGTTAATGTCTTGCGAAGCCAAAAGTTGTGCGTTTGTAAGAAACAAATCCATCATTCAGATGTTTTTAACTAAAATATGAGTCCATAATCCATAATAACACTTGCTCCAGTGAAAAGGTTGTCTGGTCTGAACCAGGAGAGAAATCTGCACAGATCAAGCACCATTTACAAGCCAAAACAGCTCTAAACCCATGTATAGGTGGATTTTGATGTGAGAGACAACAGGAGATGGACCTTTTCACTTGAGGAAGCGTTATTATGGATTATGGACTTATATTTTAGTTAAAAATGTCTTAATGATGGATTTGTTTCTTACAAACATGCAGCTTTTGGTTTCACAAGACGCTAATTGATGGATTGGAGTGGTGTGAATTACTTGTGGATTATTGTGATGTTTTTATCAGCTGTTTGGACTCTCATTCTGACGGCACCCATTCACTGCAGAGGATCCATTGGTGAGCAACTGATGCAATGCTACATTTCTCCAAATCTGATGAAGAAACAAATTCATCTACATATTGGATGGCCTGAGGGTGAGCACATTTTCAGCTAATTTGAATTTTTGGCTGAACTATTCCTTTAAAATAGTCTTCCAGCCAGGCCAAGCTGGTGCATCTGGTTTAACAGCTGAGCTGACATATCCCAAAACCCCTTTAAAACCAGTAAAACAGTGCAACTTGTCAAGATAAGTTCTCATAAAGGTCTTTTAATGTGTTTTTCGGTGCTCAGAGCATCAGGAGAGTCTGAACGCCGTACATCTGCAGCTGTAAATGCTCTCCTGAGGGACTGAGCGTGTTCAGAACTGACCTTGGCTTTCTGCAGCGTGTCCAGCGAAGCCGCCAGATCGTCCACCTCCAGCCTCAGACTCTGTTTCTCTTTCTCCAGCTTGGCTCTGGTTCTCTGCAGGCTCTCGCACTGTTCTCCCAGCTCCGACAGAGCATCACTGTGACGCTTCCTCAGTGCTGCGGCCACCGCCTCCGCCTGCACCGACGACTCCTCCAGCTCCCGCCGGAGACGCTGCAGCTCCAGCTCGCGCTTCTTATTCATCTCCATCTACAACACAAAAATGTGCCATTGCATGTTTTACACTATCGTTCAAAAGTTTGAGGTCAGTAAGATTAAGAAATGAATACCTTTGTTCATCAAGGATGCACTAAATTGATCAAAAGTGACAGTAAAACATTTATAATGTTACAAAAGACTTCTATTTCAAATAAATGCTGTTGTTTTGAACTTTCTATTCATCAAAGAATCCTGAAAAATAAAATGTATCATGGATTTCACAAAAATATGAAGCAGTTTTCAACATTGATAATAATCAGAAATGTTTGTTGAGCAGCAATATCAGAATGATTTCTGAAGATCATGTGACACTGAAGACTGGAGTAATGATGCAAAAAAAATCCCGATTTGATCACAGGAATAAATTACATTTTACAGTATATTCACACAGAAAACAGCTATTTTAAATTCTAATAATATTTCACAATTTGTACTGTATTTTTGATCAAATAAATGCGGCCTTGATTGAACTGTCGGCTTGAATCACTGCTACATGGCTTTTGATATACAGTATTAAATTTTTTCTTTGGGTCTCATCTGTTTTAGGGTTATTGGGGACATTCAAAGGAAGCCAAAATGTCTCAAACACCAGTAAACACATGCAGAAATGGATCACACAATGAAAAATCAAATTTTCATTGATCCTAGGAAATAAAAGAACTTGATGTGCTATGAAAACACTTTTACTTTTACAACTAACTGATATCAAACATATGAATACACTAACACATAACAGCCCACATTACACACAAAAAAACACTGTTGCTTTCAGTCAAACTGAGCTAAAAAATGGCTAAAAGTGCTGCATGTGGTGTTGAAACACCCTGTTTCCATACCGTTATAGGAGATTTGGGTTTAATTTAGATTTTCATCAGCTAAGTTATTGCCATTGAGATGAACAGGAATGATAACTGATAGCTTTCTTGTTTTATTGACCTCCATGGAATTTATATAGGAGCATCAAATCAAAGTATAAAAAACTGCCTGTTTAATCCTACAGATCAGAGAGAGAGAGTGTGTATTTTTGACCCTGTGGGATTATATATAAAATGTATACAAGTTTTTTTTTTTTTAATCAAGAACACATTAATTAAAACTGACACTAAAGACATTTCTAATGTTACAAAAGACTTCTATTTCAAATAAATGCTGTTGTTTTGAACTTTCTATTCATCAAAGAATCCTGAAAAATAAAATGTATCATGGATTTCACAAAAATATGAAGCAGTTTTCAACATTGATAATAATCAGAAATGTTTGTTGAGCAGCAATATCAGAATGATTTCTGAAGATCATGTGACACTGAAGACTGGAGTAATGATGCAAAAAAACCCCGCTTTGATCACAGGAATAAATTACATTTTACAGTATATTCACACAGAAAACAACTATTTTAAATTGTAATAATATTTCACGATTTTTCCTGTTTGTACTGTATTTTTGATCAAATAAATGCAGCCTTAGTCAGCAGAATATACTTCTTTCAAAAAAAAAAACAAAAAAAAAACACACTGACCACAAGCTTTTGAACAGCAGTGCATAAAACAAATGTCACTTTCATATTCTCATAAGTGAAATAAATTAAATTTTATTTGATTATGAAATCCAATATCTGCCTTTAGAGATTAAAAAAAAAATTCTGATAAACTGGAGAGTGTATCTGAAGCATGTAATTACAAAGAATATGCAATTAAATTTGATTTAATTTAAATATGTGTTCAATTGCTCCATTAATGTGGCTATAAACAATCATAACCAGTGTTTTCATACCTGAGAGGCCGTGGCTCCTCCTGCTTCCTCCAGTTTGTCTGTCAGATCATCCAGTTCACGGCTCAAATCAGCGCGCTGCTTCTCCACCTGTGGAAAAAATACGTACATTTACTCCCAAACACACAGTTAGAGTTTAACAGTCATCATCATACAACATATTCCAGATTGTATATGTAATAAATACAGGTACAGGTAATAAATCTACACGCTCATCCGCAGTTCTGCTTTAAACAGAGATGTAATAGAGACGATCCACATGCAGGTCAGGACATGAGTGTGTATGTAGAGTTAAAGCAGGGCAGATGATAGATGTGGGGAAGTGATTAGAAACAACCATAACAGAGTCTAGTCTAGACCCTCCTAGTGTCTGGATCACTTACAGAATTATGCTACAACACAACATTACATTACAGAGGGTAAAAATCAAAAACATTAGATCTTTGATGGATCCAAGAGCCTAGAGGCAAATTAAAAAAACCATCATAACACTTTAACAAAACACACATGAAGGTTTGTTTGTTTTCAAACCTAGAGCCTCGTTCATTTTTGAACAGCAATAAAAATCCTCACTGCTGTTCGACAGATGCTTATTAAAATGAACAAACAAGACTTTTGTTTATGCTACAACACATCAAAGCATATCTTGAATGCAAAAACAGGTTTCTTCATTTATTCTCCAGCTGTTTGAGATATAATCGTCCGCAGCGTCGCGTCAAATGATGAGAATGAGAATAAATATAAGCACACAAGGTGAGAGGAATCACAGGCCAGAACAGCAGCAATAAAGCCTATCAAATAAAACAATTATGCAACTATCTGTTAACATTAGACATGATCAATATTTCCTCATTATACTTGACCCCTATGTGAGATGAAGGCTGCTCGCCAATACAGCCACTGAGCGTCCAAATAAGTTTATAATAAATTAATTTAAGAAAATATATATATTTCCTTATCATTTCAATTCTTAAAATGTGTGCTTGTGTCTTTAAAAATGCCATTTATAGTTTTATAGTTTTATAGATATAGTTATGTTATGTTATATACAGCGTTCCAAAAGTCTTGGAAATATCTGGGAATATCTAAAGTGTGATTTTCAGGCTGTAAATGACAAGCTGTATAAAATAAAACAAAATCTATCCAGACATAATAAAAAAAACTGTAAAATAAATATCAAAGTACCAAAAAAATACCAAAATATCATGGTCTGAGAGGGTCCAGGTTTTGTGAAGAAACATTTTAAGGCTTTAAGACCTTTTAAAGTCCAAGTTCAGATCGTTTAAAGGGGTCATAGGATGCTACGTGCACTTTTACAAGTTGTTTGAACTGAAATGTGTGTTGGCAGTGTGTGTACACAACCACCCTAAAATGATAAAAATCCACCTGGTGATGTTTTTTTTTTAATCTCGTTAAATCTTTACCCCTTTCTCAAATCGAGCCGATCTCAGATGCCAGGCCCCTCCCACGATAGTTTGATTGACAATAGCGTTTCAACACAGACTGGACTGGCGTGTTTCCTTAGCTCCGCCCTGAGTGAGCTGTCATCAGTCCGCCATTGTTTCTCTGAAGACGCAGTGGATTTCGTTTGTTTCTGAAGGTAAATGCTCCCCCGATCTGCCTAAATGCGTCTATGTTCGCGTGAATCATTCGTGATCCAGCCTCATCTACAGAAGAAGTGAGTATAATGTTTTGTAATGAATCTTTGCAAATCGCCTTTCCTAATAATGTGCTAATTAGCAAGTTTTACGATGAATGCGGCTAAAGTAAACAGTCTCTCTGAGAGCAGCTCGGAAGAGAGGGGCGGGGTCAGCAGAGCTCATTAACATTTAAAGGAAAATGCTACAAAAACGGCTTGATCTGAAAAGAGCTGTTTTTGACAGGGTAAAAAAAGGTGTTTTTACACTACCATTGAGAAATTTTAACCAAACTATGTTACAGACTTCTCATTAAGACCCTAAAGAATCATATCAACTTGTGGAAAATGGGCATCATATGACCCCTTTAAGGAATACATGTGTCAATATGCTTTTAAATGTAAATGTCTAGGGAGCATAACACGAGTTGTATTAGTTGCATTAGCAACATTTCTAAAACAAATAAGTCTGAAAATACAACTTCCAACAGTTCTCCATTACATTTCAATTCATTTTACAAAAACAATAGCTTAAAAATGACTTGTACTGTACCTCCTGATCACACTGCAAGAAACCACAATGTTGTTCCTGAGTATCTTTGTCTCATTTTCCAGTGCAAATTTCTAAAGATTCAGAAATCAAGATAGATTGACTGGAAAGTGAAATAAAATGAAGTCTTGTTTTATGAGAAACTGGTCAAAATGAAGTGAGTTTATGATTAAAACAAGAACAAATATCTCTAAATATCTATCTATAAATAACGTTTTCATTCTCCATTGACAGAATTTTGTTCCTGTTTTAAGCATAAACACTTCATTTTGTTCAGTTTCGCAGACTTCATATCTTCATTTCGCATCTCCAGTAAATGTACCTTGATTTAAGGATGTTTAGAAATTTGTACTGGAAAACAAGTCAAAAATACTGAGGATGATATTCTTTTTTTTTTTTGCAATGTATGCACCATTTCATGCTAAAATGTTATGAATTTAAGACTCTGGGCTCGGTTTTAAGGTCTTCATTTGTGGAAGGGCAGATGAAGCTTTTTAAGCTCTGCAGAAAGTATATGTAAATGCACTCATACTGTAAACTTTCCAGAGCTCATCATAAGGTATGCAGAGCCTGTATGTGTTCGGTCTAAGCATGTGTGCTCTTGGGGTGCGTGTTTGCAGTAGATGAGGGCTTGAATTCCTCTGTGGAAACCTCTGGAATATAATGCGTTGCATCCGATGCTATCTGAGAGAACAATGGCACGTCTGTGTCGACCCTCCGGAGGTCTGTGGAGGCAGACGCGTGATAAACGCACACATGTCCGTGCTTGACTCTAACACTCGCCACCCAACATGAAGACACCTTCACATCCACCGCCACGGGCCATGTCACTCCATCAGACAATATTCCCACTCAGCTTTATGAGGCTTTCTGTAGCTTGCAGCAGAAGATCACAGTGCTGAATAACCTGACCTCTAACAGGTTTCCGTCTCCGGGAGCTCCACACGAGAGTCAAGCCATCGCTTCCTAAAGACATGAAGTCTGCATGCGTATCAGGTACAGTGCTTTGATTTTAGGACATGTACAGGCATCGCCGCCTAGAAATGGATGAATGAAAATGAATAACTTCCATCAGGAAAGAAATGGGAATAAACAGCCTTCAAGGAGTCGGAAATATCATATTTATGAGTTCACACCATAGGAGTGATCAAACGAAGATGTATGGGAAATTTGAAATTCTAGACGATACACAAAATGTGATGTAAAAGGGGTGTGTGGATGTTGCAAATCAATCTGTAGTAATAGTATTTTATAATATTAAGGCACTATATATGAAAGCGATTATAGACAACAATGGCTAATTTTATTACCGATTCAAAGAGTCTGTATTATTTTTTACGAGAGTGCGATGTGATGATAACGAATATTATTTTTTTCAGAGCGCATGGCGTCATGATAATGAATGTCACAATGAATATTTTTCCTAATAAAGATTTTTTTTTTTTTTTTAAAGAGTCATCATAATTATAATTTTTTCTGAGTGCGTGGCATGCCGGCTTGCTTATAATAGCATTGGTTACTACACTTTTTCTTAGTTACCCTTTATTACATATTCTACATTACAAACATAAGTAACTCTGCAACTGCACGTCAACCAACTCTCATTAGAGTATTAGTTGACTGTTAGGTTAGGGTTTGGGTTAGTAGAATAAGTTGACATGTACTTGCAAAGTTACTCAAAATCAGTTGAGTGTCCATCAAAATAAAGTATTAGCAGATATTAAGCAGACAGTCTACTAACACTCTAATGACAATGTCTAGTCGACTTGGAGTTGCAAAGTTACTTATAGTTAATAGCATATCTAAAGTGGACTATCAAAATAAAGTGTTACCATTTTCTTTTATACGATGCTGAATCTTCATCACCTTTAACACTTTCACATTGACAATAAACTCATACTGCAGCAAAAAGCTTTAAATCATGTTTTCTTTCAATAAGAGTTGGTGGTTTCTGGTCACGTGGATGACAAAGGTCAAAGATCAGAGTTCAACTGCATGCAAATGAGCATCAGTGTGATGCATCCACTGCGCAGTCAAGTAGAAAAACGGCTTGAGCTACATAAAGACTGAGGCCTTCATGTATCATGCTGATTGCATTTATACGCTGCTTGAAGAGTTTGACTGGCAGGAGCTGGGCCCTGGGCTGATCTGTTATTCCAGGTGCAGATTATTTATCCTGAAGCAGAGGCGCCTCTGCCCTGAACACAACTCAAACCAATGTCAGACTCTGTCCACATCAGCCCTGACTCCTGCTGATAGCTGATACCCGTCAGATCTGCTCAGGATCACACACACACACACACACACGTATGACCGGATCACAGAGCAGAGCGGCCGTCCAGCACAATTCATTCATTTCCACGCTGAGGTCAGGCCTTCACCAACAAATCGTTCTTTTGAGCAGATTCTGAATTGAACTTTAGTTCAAGGTTGATGGCAGGAGATTCAAAGCAGCACATGTGACTCAACGGAATCAAATGAGCGGATTCAACTAAAGTGTCAAAGTTTACACAGGATTACTGAGGATCCTATACTGTACTACGGGGCTGTTGAATGCTTAAATCTGATTGGCTGACGAACGTTCTGAGGTGTGCAGTTATTTTCAGGGAAAAGCATGGCTGAAGTAGCTCCAGGCAGCTCTTGAGTAAAAAAGCGAAGCAACTTAAAAGCTACATGACATTTCTCTCTACTGAGGTAATAATAGTGTTCTTGAAGCAGTTCAACTTACAGTAATGACCACCTCGGGTGTGCATTATATGCTAACAATTCAACGGCCCGTTTCAATTATTCCTTACTTAAAGAATTCAACTTGAACTGAGACATTAACTTTAAATAAGAGAAACTAATAAGTAATAAGCAATAAAATGCTGCATTCAACAAAACTGCTGCAATCATTTCCATGAATCAATTCCGTATGAATACAACTTTCCAGAGCGACATATGGCAGGAGTGTGTTTGATTATCAGCTCAACTCACACTCTGATACTTGCTGAAAAAAACAGGTTGTAACTAGAAAAGCTGCACTATTTTGAAAACTACAGTCATGCTAATAAAATGTGTCGTTTAGTTAATCGCCTTTTTGCTATTTCTGTTTTATAAAGCGTATCTGAAGGTTGTCCTGTAATCGTTTGCAGGTACGTTCAGGTGCCACAAATACCTCATCAGTCAAACTCCCAGATAAGCTAATGGACGACATTAGTCTCACTTATCTGGCAATTCTGGACAAAGATCGGAGCTTGTGTGTTTAGGAGATGAGGTCATTGAGGGCCGTTCACAATCAACAGACGCTCGTTAGGTTCGATTTCTGTGTCGTACCTTTGCCCGTAAGGCTCTCTCAGCCTCCAGCTCTTCCTCCAGCTCCTCAATGCGGACCTGTGGGACGAGAAACCAAATACAATCATACTTGGTATAATGTACTAAAATGAATCATTCCGTGCATACTCTGTTGACCTTAAAAAGCAAATCAACTTTCATTTAAATGCGCAAATAAAGACAGAATCTTTATATAGACACAAACTACTGTTTGTGGTTGGTAAGATTTTTCGATGTTTCTAAAAGAAGCCTCTTCTGCTCATCCAGGCTGATTTATTTGATCAAAATACAGTACAAATTGTGGAATATTTTTACTATTTCAGATAGCTGTTTGTATGTGAATATATGTTCAAATGTAATTTATTTCTGTGATCAAAGCTGAATTTCCAGCATCATTACTCCAGTCTTCAGTGTCACATGATCTTCAGAAATCATTCTAATATGCTGATTTGCGGCTCAAGAAACATTTCTAATTATTATCGATGTTGAAAACTGCTGCTTCATATTTTTGTGGAAACTATGATACAATTTCAAGATTCTGTGATGAATAGAAAGCTCAAAAGAGCAGCATTTATTTGAAACTGAAATCTTTTGTAACATCATGACTCTACTGTCACTTTTGATCAAATTAATGCAGCCTTGCTGATCTTACAGACCACAAACTTTGGTACAGCAGTGTGCATACATATTTTTACTGTTTAATTAACAGAATATAATCAATTCAGTATCAAGAGATTTTTTTATGAAAAAGACATTCTAAAGAAATAAAGACATTTGAAATAATTGAATAACATTCCATTTTCCAAAATAACCTACTCCTTTGGCTTTCTTCCCATGTGTCCAAATCTAAGATAAGCTCTCCAATCAGTGTGACACCATAATCACACAGTAAAAAACCACAGAGGAAGAGCGAACGGCCAACTAGATGGGACACGCTGGAATTCTTGTGAAAATATCACAAAGCAAATACTCTGGGTCAAACCCTTGAACCTTTTCTGTGCACACAGCTGAGACAAAAACAGGCATGTTCTTTAAAGAGGTCATATGATGCGATTTAAATTTTTCCTTTCTCTTTGAAGTGTTACAAGCTCTTGGTGCATAAAGAAGATCTGTAAAGTTGCAAAGACTAAAGTCTCAAATCCAAAGAGATAGTCTTTATAAAAGTTAAGAGTGAGCCAAGCCTACCTAAAACGGCTCGTTCTAACACGCCCCCACATACCTATACAAATGCCTCGTTTATAATGGGTTTTACTGGTTTTGTCTCGTAGCTCCTGGACACGGCATCACAGTATGGTAAGGGGCGTAACATTTCCGTCACACGCTTGAGGTATTCGGCCAATCACAACGCACTGGATAGCTGGACAATCAGAGCACACCTCAATTTTTCAGAACGATGAGCTTTGTAAAAATCGACGCGTTTCAGAAAGGCGGGGCATAGAGGAGAAACAATAATGTACAGTATGTGGAAAATAATGTGTTTTTTTAACCTTAAACCGCATAAACACATTTCATTACACCAAATACACAAAATAATGTTCTTTTTAGCAGCATCATATGACCCCTTTAATAAATGTAATCAACTTCCTTAAGAGTTATATTAACCACAAACTACCATAGTGCCGAAAACATGACATTAGGAAATGTAAACTGGGAACTGACAGAAATTTATGACTGCAAGTTTGAAATCAGTGATGAACTCCTCATCCTCATGTCGTGTGGCACATAACGTCTTATGAATGATCTTCTCTCTGTTACAGGCAGGAAGTTTGTCTAAATCGCTGGAGGACACACATAACACACATGCTGACAACCTCAGATCCAACACACACACACTCACTCAGAAAGAGATTCCACTTGAACCCAAAGGCCTGAATGACTCACTCCCATTTAAAAATAGCTGAATTAAAAGTTACTTTACAGATAAACTACTGATGTTCCACGCATGCAGGGACAAGCAGAAATGTGAGCGATACAGGGAATAACATCCGCAAACTGTAATGCAGTGAAGAAGTAGAGCTCAGAAACTCACATGCCAGCGAAGGACCTCAGTGGAGAGAACAGCCATGAGCAACAGAGACCGAAGCAGACTGACACACACACATACACACACACACACACACACAAGCTCACCTCAGACTGAAGGGAATCCACACCCCCTTCACACTCACTGAGCAGTTCAGCCTGCCCTCCATACAGACACACACACACACACATGCACACTGGTATTCTTATCATTATGGGTTCATTAAGTGTAATGGTTTTTATACTGTACAAAGTGTATTTTCTATCCCCTTACCCTAAACCTACCCGTGAACCTACCCCTCACACAACACTTTATGCATTTTTAGATTTAAAAAAAAAACTGTAGCTTGCTTTAAGCTTGTTTCCTCATGGGGACATGTTGGCCCCATAACATAGGGAAGACCAGGTACACACACACACACACATACACACACACTGTACAGATCAGCTGGTCACACTTTATTTTAAGGACCAGTTCTTGCTATTAAAAAACAATTAACTTTGACTTTTGCTTCAACAAACTACTAATTTGCTGCTTATTAATAGTTAGTAAGGTAGTTGTTAAGTTTAGGTATTGGGTAGGATTAGGGATGTAGAATATGGTCATGCAGAATATGTGCTTTAATAAACAGCCAATATAAATACCCTGATAAAGCTCCGTCTGTGTGTCATGATCTCCAGCTGGAGTGCCCATGAGCTCCTCTAGAGGGCACTCCCTTCTGTACCTTGCCATTCACTCAGGACTCCATTTCCCATAATCCTTTGCCTGGACTCATCAATTGCATCACATGTCTCTCATCAGATCTCATCATCAGTTCACAGCTGTCTCACATTAGTAGGACTATAAGAATAGCACACACACTCTCTGTCATCGCTGGTGATTGAATGTTGTATAGCTCTTCCGTGGTTTCTAAGTTTCCGTGTTTCTAGTTTCTCTGTTTCCTTGCCTTCTTGTTTTGATCCCTGGACTGTTTTCTTGTTTATGATTGTTTTGCTGCCTGCCCTGACCATTGCCTGATTATCTGGATTACTCTTTGGCTTTGCCACTGCCATCGTTGTTTGCTGTTGTTGACCACGCCTGTTTGACTACGCTCTTATTAAAGCCTTGCATTTGGATCCCCACTTTGTCGTCACGCCTCCTTCGTTACACTGTGAAAGGCTGGCAAAAAGTGTTAATGGAGTCAATACTTACACTATGTAGGAATATTTTGATATGTTGAAATGGAATCTTGTAGTTTCTGAGTCGTATAAAAGGTTTACATTTTGATTAACACAAAGCCATTGTGTGACTTCAGAAAACTTGTAATACTGAGAATGAGTCTTACAGTTATGATAGTTAAGTGGTGTTTTGTTCATCCTCATTTGCTCCAATTGCATGGAAAAGAGCGACCAGCAAACTATTGATAATGTTCCCTTCTGTGTCACACGAGTCGAAATGAGTAAATAATGACAGAATGATCAATGCATTCCTAGAGAACGAACCCGATCGATCATCAAAAGATCGAGTTCTTCCATATCATTATTTCTAAAAGACACTATCCTGTCATTCCCATGATGGTTTGCTTGATTACACATTCTTTTACCTTCTGCAGGACTATAAATTAACATTGACATTTTTCTTTTATATTAACTTAAAACCTAGCCAACTAGCCCCGGTTACAAACTAAAATATTCATAAAGATCAAGAGACTATGTATACAAGGTCGAGAAAAGATTTTCAGCATGCCAATTTATTAATGAAAATAGATTATTTGATTGATTGTGTCAACATGACATGAGCCAAATATGTACATCATGTTATTACTTGTGTTTATTTGACTCACATTAAGATGATCTGTCTCTCTGCCCATGAAAACTGCCCATCTCACAATGCTCATCTTCTGATTAACAACAATCACGATTATCTGATTAATAAACACCAACCAGCAATTCAAAACTTCACCTGAACCGACCTGACAGAGAAACCCAGTGCTCCATGTAACATTTGTCTTCGTCTCCACCTGTGTAATAATTAATGGGCAGACGGAGCCATAAAGCATGCTTTGTGTGATATGCTGAATGCCCTGGCTGAAAGTGAAAACATGTCCACCCTCACCAACACACGGATCGACTTTCCCCTTCATTAAAGCAGATAAGCATGAGAGACAAAGAGCGTCTGTTTTCTAAACAAGCTTGAGTCCGCTGAGAAACCATCTCCTGTCTTGTCCATCTCAAGTCTTTCAGCCTCACCGAAGCTCGGGAAACAAAAGGAACCTGAATTACCACGAATTTTATGTGCAATGATTGTAAATGCATTAAGAGTAGAAATGTATCTGTGGCAATTGTACACCATCTCCTCCTGATATTGTCTCTGAAATGGCCTTAAAAAGAAAAGTTCACCCAAAAATTATAATGTGCTGAAAATGTGCTCACCCTCAAGTCATCCAAGATGTAGGTGAGTTTGTTTCTTCATCAGATTTGGAGAAATGTAGCATTGCATCACTTGCTCACCAATGGATGCTCTGCAGTGAATGGGTGCCGTCAGAATAAGAGTCCAAACAGCTGATAAAAACATCACAATAATCCACAAGTAATCCACACCACTCCAGTCCATCAGTTAATGTCTTGTGAAGCCAAAAGCTGTGTGTTTGTAAGAAACAAATCCACCATTAAGACGTTTGTAACTAAAATACGAGTCCATAATCCATAATAATGCTTCTTCCAGTGAAAAAGTGGTCTGGTCTGAATCAGGAGAGAAATCTGCACAGATCAAGCTCCGTTTACAAGCCAAAACAGCTGTAAACAAACATGTAAGTGGATTTTAATGTGAGAGACAACAGGAGATGGACTTTTTCACTGGAGCAAGTGTTATTATGGACTCGTATTTTAGTTAATAACATCTTGATGGATTTGTTTCTTGCAAACATGCAGCTTTTGGCTTTTCAAGACATTAACTGATGGACTGGAGTGGTGTGGATTACTTGTGGATTAGTGTGGTGTTTTTATCAGCTGTTTGGACTCTCATTCTGACGGCACCCATTCACTGCAGAGCATCCATTGGTGAGCTAGTGATGCAATGCTACATTTCTCCAAATCTGATGAAGAAACAAACTCATCTACATCTTGAATGGCGATGAGGGTGAGCACCTTTTGATTTTTGTCTTAACTATTCCTTTAAATGCATTAAAATCTCACATTTCTAAATGAATTTAGATCTGGAGAGGGTGTCACACCTACTTGACATAAAGCAGGACTGACAGAGGTTAAACTAACATTGCTTTTCAACAGCTTTTAAATGCCTCAGACATGAGCTAACTCTCTCTTTCTTTCCAAATATATCATTCTGCTGTCACTTTCTAAGTCCCGTGCAAAAGAGCCAACAGAGCACTGGTTAAACAGACTCTGCTTAAAAAAGCAGTGTGAGGTTACAACCGGAGCCTTCCTTCCCTCTCTAGAGAGATCGTTATCAGCTCCTGAACTCCTCAGCTATGTTTTAGTCATCTCTGGCTCACAAATCAGAGTCTTGGACCCCCACGGCGCTGAAAGACAGGAATGCTGCGGCTCTCCCACGAGGCCTCACCTGGAGCTCCTTATTCTTCCTCTGCAGGCCTGTGTTCAGCGCCTCCTCGGCCTCCAGCCGGCTGCTGGTGCTGCTTATCTCCACATCTTTCCTGACAGAAGACAGACGGAGAAAGAGAGAGTGTGAGGACGGGAGTGACAGGGCTAATTTAGCAGGCATGCTCTGTGTTGTTTGCTAGCCGTGTCCGATAAACGTCGCCCGTGTCTCAGATTATTAAACGTGCCAGTCAGTCCCAGAACATCATTTGAAGATCTCATTGATTGACTCTGTGATTTGTAAGTTGTTGTTTTAACTAAAGAACCTTTAAGGCAAGTCAGTTCACTTGACGGCCATCTTAGTAACACCCTGCACAGATATATTTTGTTTTTATTAGGCATGTAAGTACAGCTCCTATCTACATAAACCTGTTTCTATGGAGCCGGAATATGCTAATGGCAAAAATATGAAATGGGAGGAAAAATAATATTTCAATGATTTTTACGGTTGCTCGCAAAACATTTGCATTCTTATGAGAAACTTTGCCTTTGTCCGCAAAACCTTTACATTCTTCCCAGACACTTTACGTTTTCTCACAAAAACTTTTGCGTTCTTCCAAGAAACCTTACATTCACTCAAAAAAAGTTTTGCATCCCCAAGAAAAATTGTGTTCATTCACAAAACTTTTGTGTTTCCCAAGAAATTTTGCATTCGCTCACAAAAAAATTTGCCTTTCACCAAGAAACTTTTGCCTTACAAAACTTTTGCGTTCACTCACAAAACATAAGCATTCGCTAGTAAACGTATGCTGTTCCCCCAGCAAACTTTTGTTCGATCAATCAATATTTGTGTTTGCTCACAAAGTGTTTGCTTTTTTTACCAAGAAACTTTGCATTTGTTCAAATTTTTTTAATTCTTTCGAGAAACTCTGTGTTCACTTACAAAATGTAAGCGTTCTCTAGTAAAAGTATTGTTTACCCACAAAACTTTACATTTTCTCACAAAAACTTTTGCATTCCTCCAAGAAACTTTGCATTCAACTCAAAAAAACTTTCGGCATCCTTGAGAAACTTTTTGTTCATTCACAAATCTTTTGCGTTTCCCCAAGAAATTTTGCGTTTTCTCGAGAAACTTTTGCATTCTTCGGAGAAACAAAACTTTTGCGTTCACTCACAAAATGCAAGCATTCACTAGTAAAAGTATCGTTTCCCCAAGAAACGTTACGTTTAATCACAAAAACTTTTGCATTCCTCCAAGAAACTTTGCATTCATTCACAAAATTTGGCGTTCCCCTAAGAAATTGCGTTTACTCACAAAAAGTTTGCCTTTCACCACAAATTTTTGCGTTTGCTCGGGAAACATTTGAATTCTTCTGAGAAACAAAACTTTTGCGTTCACTCACAAAATGCAAGCATTCACTAGTAAAAGTATGGCGTTCCCCCAAGGAACTTTTGTTTGCTCAATAAATTTTTGCGTTCCTCCAAGAAAATTTGCATTCTCTCAGAACTTTTCCATTCCCCCCAAAAATGTTGCCTTCACTCAGAAAATGTTTGCCTTTTTACTGAGAAACTTTGCATTTGCTTAACAAATTTTTTAATTCTTACGAGAAACTTTGTGTTCACACTCAAACATAAGCGCTCTCTAGTAAAAGTATTATTTCCCTGAGAAACTATACGTGTTCTCACAAAAACTTGTTCCTCCAAGAAATTTTGAGTTCACTCACAAAAAGTTTGCCTTTCGCCAAGAAACTTTGTGTTTGCTGGAGAAACTTTTGCATCCCCGAGAAACTTTGTGTTCATTCACAAAACGTTTGCGTTCCCCCAAGAAACTTTGCATTTGCTCAAGAAAATTCTTCGGAGAACCAAAACTTTTGCATTCGCTCACAAAGCGTAAGCGTTCTCTAGTAAAAGTATTGTGTAAGTGTAAACTTTACGTTTGCTCACAAACATTTCTATTCCAATGAGAAACTTTGAATTCGCTCACAAAACGTTTGCGTTTAAATTTTTTGCCAGTGGCAACTGCAATAAATAGTCACAATTACCTCTTTTTAGGTGGAAACAGGCTTCCGTTTCAAGAAAGAGTGAAATCTCCAAAACTGTTGGTCAAGATTCATTTTCAATATCATACAGTATGTCTTCAAATCAACAATAAACAAACAGGTGATGCCTCTATCAGAAAGCTGATTGGCTATTTTAACTGAAAGGTGGAGCTTCCATTCATACATACGCCATATTGGGCAGTTTTTTCTCCTCCTCCTCCTCCTCCTCCTCCTCTTCCACATACTATCTCTGCTTTTAACCCTTTCACCATCACTCAAATATTAAAATAAAAGAAGAAATGTTCTGGTTTTCTTTTTCCCTTCTAATTGGGGCCTCCATGAAACAGCTGGTTTTGCTTTCTACAGAATATACGCCATTCTGCATACTAACAAGCCTGAACAGCTCTAGGAGCCTGGAGGCCTTTAACTCATCAAAGCTGAGATAGCGGCGCTCCAAGCACATATCATGTTATAGACAAGAGCCGTCCAAACATCTGTTTTGCTGCTTTATCTTCTCCATTTTTAAAGCTTTTCTTGGAGACATCAACGGCTTCAAGAGATCATTCATTTTAGTTATTATAACATTATTATATGGAGTCCCTACCATTTTTGACAGCGAAACCATTTCGAGGTAAAATATTTACTTGAAGTCCCCCCACAGATTATTATTTATTATATTATTTATAGATTATTATATTATTTTAATCGTTTAACAACACATTCACATGCTATATAATGAATATTGCTCTTATCTGCTAAGCTAATGTTGATTAATGGTCACATGACATGCAGCTAAACAAATAAAATATTCAAAAAATAAAATATTTAATAAACAATATATATAGAAACTGAATACAAATGAAATACAAATAAATATTTAATAACATTTTCATGTACATTTTTATGATTTCATTAATTATTAGATTTTCAACTCACACACCGCTTACAATCACAGTTTCTAGTTTATTTGTTTCATTCCGTACTAAACAAAGAAAAAAAAAAGGGACACGTAAGCCAAAAGAACAACTGCTTCAGAAGTAAATGACATAACTGTGATTCATCTGTGAAATGCAGTTAATTTATCATCATTTGCATTAGTGAAACATCTCCTCACCTCCTGATCAGCTCCTCCAGACTGGCCCTCATCTTGCCCATCTCTGTCTGGTTGTCCATAGTGTTCCTACCGTCTCCCTCCAGCCTACGCCTGCTCTTCTCCAAATCCGTCCTCTGTTTCCTCTCCTGCTCCAACAGATACTCCAGCTAGGAGAACATCAAGCAGATTGGTGTGATATCTATATCTATCCGTGGCCCGGACCACAGTGATCTGCTGATCTACTCACATCCTCTGCCTGCAGCTTCAGCTTGGCTTTCTCTTTGGTCAGGAGGTTCACCTTCTCCTCCTCGCACTGTAAGTCCTCGACGGCCTGCTGCAAAAATAAAACACAGATGTGAGGGTCTGTCGAGCAGATGCGGCGTAAATTTCCAGCCAAGAACGGCTCACAACTGACTGGGATGCTTTCATTCGGCAGATCACAGAGAAAGCTTGATGGCTTAATCAAATCAGACCCTGAAAGGCACATTCATTCTAGTCTAAAGTGAAGTAAGCTCAAATGTAAAGCACACCACACCATCACACCAACACTATGCTCCTTGAACGAAGAGCTCACATATCTGGAGATGGTTCCTGATGAAGGTCGTAAATCACAGAGATGAGCTGCTACTGTTGGACATCTGGCTTACGTTACTGCACAGCGATCATAGAGTTTTATGGAGCACAAAAGAGATGGTGAGAGGAAAATAAGACACTTCTTGACTTTCTAAGGTGAACTAAACTGTGATCTGAGGTGCTCTGCATCTACATCAAGACAGATTACTTAGAAAGGAATTGCTTCCAAATAAGCTTAAATTGCTTGGTTAATGACAAATAAAAGTGTCCACAGAAACAAACAAACAAAAAAATTCTAAAAACAAATGAGCCAAGTTGGAAATCTACTCTTTGGATTTGAAAAAGGATACTATATTTAAGAAAAGTCTAAATTCAATGACTCTAAAAGTAATAAAATATTTTCCTCACACCATGAATATCACTACTTTCAAAACTCTTTTAAATATATTTTTTTTTTCAAAGTTATTATTATTGTTATTAACCATTCATAAATATCGTTAGGTTTTTAGGGGTTGTACCACATGACAATTTACAACTTGAACTAATCTTGGCTTCACATAAAAGGTCAAATTATTTGATATTTCTAGGATAACATTTCTTGTTTTATAGTTTCTCACCCATGTTGGTCAAATTTCATGAGAGATTACAGTTATGAAACTGCTTTAATGCTTTTTTATTATTAATGCCAATTAAATTTTTTAATGAAAAATACTTTTAGAGGCCTTTTTCTTCATGATATCAGGACAATTGTATTACCCTAATATTTCTGTCCTCATGCCCACAAAAATATCCAAATGAACTTTAATTCATAAATTAAAAAATGGTTATCACAAAGAAGTACATGTATTACATTTTAATGTATTTCTGAATTAAATAATAAATCCGAGCATCACAACACTGATGCATAAAAACAGATTTCTTACAACAAAAGTATTTAAAATATTTAAGAACATTTGTTCCGAATTATTGCACATTACCATCTTTTCGACCGGGTCAAAACCACATGAATAATTCATCAATTTTATGACATGTAAAAAACGTATTAATTACTAGTGCCGTGTTGGAGTCAAACGCCATGTTTTGATTGGTAATCAAGATTTCCAAGCAGTTCACTGCTGCAACTCATTATAAACCATTTCGCAGAAAATATTTTTCATTATTTAAGAAACAATCACAGCAGTGACCTGAACCCTTTAAGTTATTTTCCAGATTAAAGTCGGAAATGGCCTGTTGTGCCAGAGGGATGAACGCTAACCTGTTAATGACCTCCAACTTGTCTTCCAGATGGGTCTGTCCCATTTAAAAGAGCAGGCTGTGTTAATTGCATTAGTTACCTCGCCTCATGACTGACCTTTACACTGCAGTATCCTTGGAAAACACTGATCAAAACTGTCCAACATATGTCTGAGTGATGGATTCTGGAACATGAACAAATACACGCAGAGAATGTGATTCCATGTCATTTCAGCAGCCCTCACCTGGCTCAACTCCACCAGGTGCTCCTTTTCTTTCTGCAGTTTGTGAACCAGCTCGTTCTTCTGGGTGAGATCTTCAGAGAGCTTCCTCACTGCAGAGTCTGAGGACTAGAGAGAGTTCAGGTGCATCCGATTTAGGAATATTTGTAAGATAAACATTTCCAATTATGAAAAATATTTCCAATTACGGCCAAGTCTCAATTGCGAGAAATGAAGTTGCAATTACGAAATATAAAGTTGCAGTTATGAGAAATAAAGTCGAAATTACAAGAATTAAAAGTTGCAATTACTAGAAATAAAGTTGCATTTACAAGAAAAAGTCGCAATTTCAAGAAAAGGTCACAATATCAAAAAAAGTTGCAATCACAAAGAATAGTCACAATTACAAGGCATAGTAGCAATTACAAGAAATAAAGTCCCAATATGAGAATTAAAGTCACAATTATGAGAAAAAGAAGCAATCAGAAGGAATAGTCACAATTACAAGAAATACAGTCATGATATGGGTAAATAAAGTCACAATTATAAGAAATAAAGTTGCAATCAAAATAAATTTGTCACAGTTACAAAAAACAAAGCCCCAATATGAGAAAAAAAGTCACAATTGCAAGAAATAAAGGGTTAATTGTGAGAAAAAAATAGCAAGGGCAAGAAATAAAATCGTAATTGTGAGAAAAAAGTTGCAATTAAGGGAAACAGTCACAATTATGAGAAATAATGTTGCAATTATGAGAAGTAGTCATAATTACAAGAAACAAAGTCCCAATATGAGAAAAAAAGTCACAATTAGTCACAATCAAGGGAAATAAAGTTGCAATTACAAGAAATAAAGTCGAAATTACAAGAATTAAAAGTTGCAATTACTAGAAATGAAGTTGCATTTACAAGAAAAAGTCGCAATTTCAAGAAAAGGTCACAAGTCGAAATTACAAGAATTAAAAGTTGCAATTACTAGAAATAAAGTTGCATTTACAAGAAAAAGTCGCAATTTCAAGAAAAGGTCACAATATCAAAAAAAGTTGCAATCACAAAGAATAGTCACAATTACAAGGCATAGTAGCAATTACAAGAAATAAAGTCCCAATATGAGAATTAAAGTCACAATTATGAGAAAAAGAAGCAATCAGAAGGAATAGTCACAATTACAAGAAATACAGTCATGATATGGGTAAATAAAGTCACAATTATAAGAAATAAAGTTGCAATCAAAATAAATTTGTCACAGTTACAAAAAACAAAGCCCCAATATGAGAAAAAAAGTCACAATTGCAAGAAATAAAGGGTTAATTGTGAGAAAAAAATAGCAAGGGCAAGAAATAAAATCGTAATTGTGAGAAAAAAGTTGCAATTAAGGGAAACAGTCACAATTAAGTCACAATTGCAAGAAATAAAGGGTTAATTGTGAGAAAAAAATAGCAAGGGCAAGAAATTAAATCGTAATTGTGAGAAAAAAGTTGCAATTAAGGGAAACAGTCACAATTATGAGAAATAATGTTGCAATTATGAGAAGTAGTCATAATTACAAGAAACAACGTCCCAATATGAGAAAAAAAAGTCACAATTACAAGAAATAAAGGTGTAATTATGAGAAAAAAGTCACAATTAAGTGTAATAGTCACAATTATGAGAAATAAAGTTGCAATTGCGAGAAATAGTTACCAATACATGAAAAAAAGCCCCAAAATAAGAAAAAAGTCACAATTACAAGAAATAAAGACATAATTGTCGCAATTAAGGGAAACAGTCACAATTATGAGAAATAATTACGAAACAAAATTGCAATCATGAGAAATAAAGTTTAAATTACAAGGAATAAAATCCGAATTGGAAAAGTGAAGTTACGAGTTATAAGTTACGAGTATAAGTTACGAGCAATAACGAAAGCAGTAATTTTGTTAGAAAAAGAAACTTATACTGACTTTGTATGTGGCAGATGTGATTTGTTTCAACAATGACATGAGGGACTAATGGAGCACACGTGTGTGTGTGTGTGTGTGTGTGTGTGCGTGCGCGTGTGTGTGTGTGTATGTGTGTGTGTGTGTGTGTGTGCGTGTATGTGTGCGCTGTGTCCGATAAACAAAGTTTCAACTATGAGAAATAAATCATAATTATGAGACAATGTTGCAATAGTAAGAAATGGTTGCAATTACAGAAAAATAAAGTGGCAACTTTAGAAATAAAGTCGCAATTACTGGAAATAAAGTTGCAATTATGAAAAATAACTTGAAATAGAGAAACAGAGTTGCATTTATAAGAACTAAAGTCGCAATAACAGGAAATAAAGTAACAAGAAATAGAAATAGAAAGTCGCAATTATGAAAAATACAATTGCAATTATGGGAAATAAAGTCGCAATTATTAGAAACAGTCACAATTATTAGAAGTAAAGGTGCAAATACTATAAATACAGTTGCAATCCATGATAATAATAAAGCAATTATGAGAAAAAGTTGCAATCATGACAAATAGTGCCAATAAAATGCCAACATGAGAAATAAAGTCACAATTATGGGAAATAAAGTTGCAGTTCTGATAAATAAAGTTGCAGTTATTTCTTATCTTCAGTTATTTCTTTTCTTTATTCTCTGCATACATTTCTGCCATATGTAATTTAACTGACAGTCACCACTGATAAGCTACTACTAAATATATTGTAGAAACTTAATTTTCTGTCAAGTTGCTTTGCAACGATTTGTATCGTGAAAAGCACTATACAAATAAACTTGAATTGAAAAAATGTATTTGCTATTACGAGAAATAATGTCACAATTATTTAAAAAAAAAAAAGTTTTTATTTTTATTTTTTAAAAGTCCCTATCTGAAACATAAAGTCACAAAGTTACGAGAAATAGTCACAATACGAGAAATAAAGCTGCAATTAAGAGAAATAAAGTTGCATTTATGAGAAACAAAATTGTAAGACGACCCTTCTGACTGGTTTTGTGGTCCAGGGTCACATATCAGGAAACGCAAAATTAATATCCGTGGCTCCTAATGATTTATTGAGGTCTTTAATGCAACTAGCTGGTCTTCTGGAACAAGCTGATCAAATGGTTAGAAAATAAATAAAGGGCCATACATTGAGAAAAATTGGTTTAGGACTTACTTTGAAACAATTTTTACTCAAAAATTGCTAGTAAACTTCACAAATAATTAAAAAGAAATAAGAATCTTTCGAAGTAGAAAGATTAAAATAGTATTTCCTTGTTAGTCATACTCTAATAATCTTTGTATTATTTATAACTGCACATAATTACAAGCAAGTGGAAGCAGTTTTTGAGTCTGTTACATGAACACTTCCTTCGTCTCCCATTGGTCAGCCAAACAGATGGCCCCGCCCCAGTGTTGTTCTGTCTCTTCCAGTTGAGCTGCTCGAACAAAAATATTGCAGTTTTGTCTTATATTGATCATTGTTTGTCTTTATTCTGTGAAGCACTGTGTGATAATAGTGTAAGTGCTGTATAAATAGATTGCTTGCTTAATGGATATCTGTATCAACATTTGTAGAAATTCTAGAAAACATGCAAAACACATATGGACCACTATAACTCAGATGGGGTCAGTTGATTCATTCATTAAACATGATGCATAGACATTCCTGTTCCATTTGCAAACAGTAATTAGTGGTGTTTGCTGTTTTCCATCTTCAAGGTGAAAAAGAATCACTCTTAGTTTGAAGGAGGAAGCCTGAGCACTGTCTAGGGAATTTCAAAATCGAGAAAGGACTCTTGTGACTTTGACCAATAAGAGACCATCTAGCAACTGCATAACAACCTATTAAAAACCACTTAGAACCATTTTGTAACCAAAAAACAACATCCTGGCAACCATCAACACCCAAACAACTTTTGGACTGGCGAACTCAACACTAAAAATCTAGTTATTTTCAGGACTCTGAAATTACACACTTTTTAACAACAAAAATTAATCATATTATCATGTCAAGAAACGCCTCTTTTGACCAATAAGAAACCACCAAGAATTGTCCTAGCAACCGCATAACAACCTATTAAAAACCACTAATAACCATCCACAAAGCACAAGGAACTTTTGCAAACACACTAACATTTTCTTCTGAACATTTCAAAATCTAACTTATCTTGCCATTCTGAAATTATGCACTTACTTTTTAACAACAAATATGATCTAGTTTATCAGATTATTATGCCAGTGTAAGGAGGGACCCTGAGCCCCAATTTTTTTAGCAACCGCATAGCAACCTATTAAAAACCTTTCTGAAGCAGATAACAATGTCCTGGCAACCATACACAGCATCCTAGAATCATGGCACTGGCAAACACACTAACATTTTCTTAAAGGGGTCATAGGATGCCCATTTTCCACAAGTTGATATGATTCTTTAGGGTCTTAATGAAAAGTCTGTAACATAGTTTGGTTAAAATTTCTCAATGGTAGTGTAAAAAACACCTTTTTTACCCCGTCAAAAACAGCTCTTTTCAAATCAAGTAAATATCTAGTTATTTTGCAATTCTGATATTATGCACATACTCTTCGACAACAAAAATGACCAAAAACAATGCAAGGATACTGATTACGACACTAAAATACATCCATTTGGCAGATGCATGGCAACAAAACCATGAATTGACTGTAAACATACACAGGTCCATGTTCTCTAGGAATCAAAGCAACACTGGCATCATCATGCACATGCATTATCAATAGAGCAGACTCGTGCTGTACCTGATGGATTGGGATGGATGTGGTGAAACTATCCCAGTCCAGCTCCTCGTGCTCAGCTTCTACCTGTCGCTCATCCGAGAGCGAGCGCCCGACAGACACGACCTGACAAACAGCATCCATCTCTGAGCAGCGTCTGGCCCTCCTCTAACAGCTGGACTCCTCCTGTGTTTCTACACAGCACCGACGGCGTCTTTCAGAAGTCCTGCCGCGGTCGGACAGAAACAGGTGCACAGATGATTGCCTGATGTCGAGGTGTAGAGTAACAGACTGTGTCAGTGTCTTTGTGCCGTCCTTCTCTATCCGTCACAACAGCACTCGCGTTAATCAAAAGAATGAAGCTAAATCTCTGTGCTGCACGAGACGCGGAGCAGCCGTCTGTTTCGTGCATTTATTTAAAAAAACAATCCATGCCTACAGTCTGGAAAATGTCTGAGAGTGTCAGGAGAACAAAGCTATTATTGTAATCTATGTAAAAATCTGTATGCCATTCGTTTTTACAGACAAAACACTCTGTGCTTAGACATCAAACATTTATATCTACAACAGGTGAACCAAGACCCATCACTGGCGGACGCTGATTACATCTCAACAGGTGTGACTAAATCAACATATGCAATCGACATGCTGTATGCAGTTTGTGTTTGGTGAATTGCGTACTCAACCACATACCATAGCAGTGATTTACGGCCTGACGCCCACTGGCTGAGATTCAACTGCTCAGAGTTTCAGACTAAATAATGGTGACCATTATGGTGGCCTCTTCATGAAACTGAATGGTAATCATCCCACAATGACGATGCACAGACACAGACAGTGACGCCTTCACAATCGGCTTCAAATATGACCATAAATTATACCCCAACAATATAGCAACATTTTAAGCTTCCCACTTTCACACGAATGAATATCAATAGATTTCCTTATGCATGTTTATACTATGCCAACCGCTGAGAAGAAGCTCAAACGGGTAGTAAAAACACCCAAATGAAATTAATAATTTCATTCATTTTGATTATTATTAATAATAATTTCATTTATGTATCATTATTTTTATTATTACAACTTGGTTTCTGAATTTTCTTTATTATTAGAAAATAAAAATGATTCATTTTTATTATAAATTATTACTTTTATTCAACAAGGATGCGTTTTATGGATCAAAGGTGACAGTAAAGACATTTATAACGTTACAAAAGATTTCTATTTCAAATACAAGCTGTTCTTTTGAACTTTTTATTCATCATAGAATCCTGAAAATAAGCCATTAATCATGGTTTCCACAAAAATATTCAACTGTTTTCACCATTGATAATAATCAGAAATGTTTCTTGAGCAGCAAATCAGTATATTAGAATGATTTCTGAAGGATCGTGTGAAACAGAGGACTGGAGTAATGATGCTGAAAATTCAGCTTTGATCACAGGAATAAATGACATTTTACAATATATTCTCATAGAACGCAGCTACTATAAATTGTAATAATATTTCACAATTTTTACTATATTTTTGATCAAATAAATATAGCCTTGATGAGCAGAAAAACCTTACAAAATCTTACCGACCCCAAACTTTTGAATAGTTATTGGCTCTGATTCTTATCTACCTCTAATCTAATTTTATTAATAAAAATGTCAACTAAATCCATCACATGAAACACAACCTTTTGTCCTCTGCATTTCAAAGACGTGTTGTTTCTAGGAGCAAGAGAAGCATAACAGCATAAAATCTTTTTCACTCAAGATAACAGATAACCATCACTTCTTTAGAAATGGTTCTTCCTCATTCAACATCCTGTAACCTTTCAAACTTCAGCGTCCAGTCTTAAGTGAGCTAAACTCAGATGTTCAACCAGAGGACAGAAGTTTCTCTGAATCCAAGAGCACATGGTTATGATTGCATTAGAGAAACATGCTCTGACCATAGACTGTATAAAAACATGGACGTAGTGTCCGTGACGTCACCCGTAGATTTCCGAAGAGCGTTTTTGAAGCTCAAAATTGGGCGGAGGCGCCCGTCGCCATCTTGGCAGCGCGTCACCGCGCGTCACTCCCGGATAATCGAAAATGGGCAAAGAGGCGGGAGCAGGTTGCTGAAGCCACGCCCACCTAGCTCGACGGTGGTGACAGCAGCGGCAATCCACCTGTCACTCAAGTGGCCACGCCCTTAATTATGCAGAACTTTAAGGCTAAATATAATTTAAAAGGATGAGTAATAAAAAAATTCACCCCCCTCACAGTTGTCATCAAGGGCAAAATTAGCTATATAGACCAAAATAAGTTTTTGAACCAGTCTGTAAACATGTTTTTTTCTGCTGTAAATTTGGGCATTTTAACATGGGGAGTCTATGGGATTGACTCCCTTTTGCAGCCAGCCTCTAGCGGCCAGTCGATGAATTACAGTTTAAGTCACTTCCTTGTTGGCTTCACGAGAGAGACGGGGAGGGTGCCGCTTGGCTCTGACTCGACCGTATGGGCTTCAGAAAACACAGATAAACAGTATGGGCCCACTAAAACAAAGAATTACTCTAAACAAGAACTCCTCAGAAACACTGGAGCAGCAGGACAGCTGTGATTACAGCACATCTGTGATATCAAACTGCTGTTTAATGAGCTTGTGAGACTGGAAAACATTTGATATATGAAATGCACTGATCTATAGAAGTTTAGCTTTAATCCATGAGTATTTGAACATTTTTGCATTTAACTGCACAATATAAAACATCAGTAAATAAGATGTTTATGTCTTGCACTAGCAGGCCTATTAGGATTTGACCATATCTCAATCTGCTTTCAATTATTTCATTCAATTCTTGGCCCAAAAGTGATGAGTTAATGACTGTTAATGGGCATTTTACTGTCGTATAAAGCGCTGTCATAGAAGGGTGTATTTCCTCTTCCAGGGACAGGCCTCATTCACAAATCCAGCTCTGCGCCTCAGGACCTGCACCAGTGTCCAGACCGTAAAGCTTTTCCACATGCGCAAGAATGGCATCACAGCGTTCTACTTTCATTTCACATTATCAGTCATTAGATGGTAAACAGCGTGCAGTCAGCACTTTTCTTTCACTTTTTGCTGAGAACATTTTAAGTTGGAAATTATGGAAACTTTCCACCACAGAATAAAAATTCCCCAATTGTAAGTCGCTTTGGATAAAAGCGTCTGCTAAATGAATAAATGTAAAAAGGTTATTGCAACTTTTTATCTTATAACTTAGAACCATTCATTCACATCAAACATTTTTCACTTTTCTTGCAATTCTGAGTTTACATCTTGTGATTCTAACTTTTTTCACTTAAGTTCTGAGATTACATCATGCAAATTCAAATGTTCTTTGCAAACTTGCAATTCTGACCTGTATTTGCAATTCTGAGTTTACATCTCGCAATTCTGCTTTTCTTTACATCTCGCAATTTTGACTTCTTTCCTGCCATTCTGAGTTTACATCTCACAATTCGAACTTTTTTTCACAGTTCTGAGTGAGTTTACGTTTCACATTCTGCCTTTTTCTTTACATCTCGCGATTATGATTTTTTCTCTCAATGACATTTTTTTTCTCTAAACTATTAATTTACATCTCACAGTTCTGACTTTACGTCTTGCAATTTTAATGCTTTTTTCACAATTCTGAGTTTACATCTCACAATTCTGACATTTTCTTGCAATTCTGAGTTTATATCTTGCAATTCTGACTTTTTTTGCAAACTTTTTTCACAATTCTGTGTTTACATCTCACAATTCAAATTTTTTCACAGTTCTGAGTTTACATTTCGCAATTCTGACTTTTTCTTTATATCTCTCAATTTTTACTTTTTTCTTGCAATTCTGAGTTTACATCTCACAATTCTTTTTTCGCAATTCTGAGTTTACATTTCGCAATTCTGACATTTTCCCCCTGAATTCTAAGTTTATATCTCGCAATTTTGACTTTCTTTTGCAATTATGATTTTACATCTTGCAATTCTAACTTTTTTGCAAACTTGTAATTCTGACTTTTTTTCACAATTCTGTGTTTACATCTTGCAATTCAAATTTTTTCACAGTTCTGAGTTTACATTTTGCAATTCTGACTTTTCCTTTATATCTCACAATTTTGACTTTTTTCTTGCAATTCTGAGTTTACATCTCACAATTCTTTTTTCGCAATTCTGAGTTTACATTTCGCAATTCTGACATTTTTCCTCTGAATTCTAATCTCGCAATTTTGACTTTCTTTTGCAATTATGATTTTACATCTTGCAATTCTAACTTTTTTGCAAACTTGCAATTCTAACTTTTTTTTCACAATTCTGTGTTTACATCTCACAATTCAAATTTTTTCACAGTTCTGAGTTTGCATTTCGCAATTCTGACACTTTCTTTATATCTCACAATTTTGACTTCTTTCTTGCCATTCTGAGTTTAAATCTCGTAATTCAAACTTTTTTTCACAGTTCTGAGTGAGTTTACATTTCACATTCTGCCTTTTTCTTTACATCTCGCGATTCTGATTTTTTCTCTCAATTACATTTTTTTCCTCTAAACTATTAATTTACATCTCACAGTTCTGACTTTTCTTGCAATTCTGAGTGTACGTCTTGCAATTTTAATGTTTTTTTCACAATTCTGAGTTTACATCTCAGAATTCTGACATTTTTCTTGCAATTCTGAGTTTACATCTTGCGATTCTGGCTTTTCATCTCGCAATTCTAACATTTTCGCAGTTCTGAGTTTATATCTTGCAATTCTGACTTTTTCTTTATATCTCGCAATTTTGACTTCTTTCTTGCAATTCTGAGTTTACATCTTGCAATTCAAACTTTTTTGCAAACTTGCAATTCTAATTTCTTTGCAGTTCTGAGTTTACATTTCGCAATTCTGACTTTTTCTTTATATCTCATAATTTTGACTTTTTTCTTGCAATGCTTAGTTTACATCTCAAAATTCTAACTGTTTCGCAATTCTGATTTTACATCTTGCAATTCTAACTTTTCACCAATTTTTCTTTCATATCTCGCAATTCTGACTTTTTCCCTCCGAAATCTGAGTTCACAACTCGCAATCCTAAATTTGCCATTCTATATTCATGGGATTAAAACTGAAAATTCATGACAAGAAACACATGGAATAAATGAGGGAGACAG